GGGTGTTCCATTTGAAAAATCAAAGAAGCCGCTACTTTATAGTAGAAGCGACAACGCCGCTGCGTCTGAAATATTTTAGGCGTGTAGGTCATATTGATTTATGCATACTGTGAAATTTTCAGGTTGATCCGTTGAATAGTTTGTCAGAAACGGCTAATTAACGCTCATCATGAAAAGCCCTGTATAATAATACTTGTATGTCATCAAATCATTTTTATATTTTATTTAAAATAGTAATTAATAGTTATATTTGAACAATTTTGTAAAGAAATTCCTGGTAGCTCGTTTTGTTTCAACATGTTTTCGATAATTGAAATATTAGCTGCGGTCGAAGTTGAAGTTAATGGGGAAACGTACTGAGCTTCCACAGAATTGTTGTGTTCCAAGTTCTAATGGCGCTGGAGGCTGAATAGATTCTACTCTACTTTTTGAAGTTTTCATTTTGTTAGCTATGGAGTTCCATTATATTCAATATTTAATAAATCTGAACTATTTATACTATAAACAATATAACTGTTTTCGTTGGGTATGTTGACAGCAATAATTATGCAGTGCTTTGGTTTTGTTGTTATGGAAACGCCGACAATGGTCTACTTGGATATTGCATTTCAAAGATATATCTCTAAAGCCATACACCTCTAGTTTTTGCAGCAGAATATAAATGACACATTTTTTTAATGGCTGTTTCTACTTTTTTGCTTGGGATACTCGTTGCCCGTTGCTTCAACGGCTTTGATAACCGTTGTTAACCGCAGTCCTAGACGAAACGTCATGCATAAAAATCTCATGCCAAAGTCATCAAATTTTAAAAATATATTCGCGACACTGTTATCTCCATCCGTGAACGTGTACGCTCCTCGATTCATCGCAAAATTTGTTTCAGCGCCCACTCGAACGAGAGGCTCTTCCTCAGAGACTTCGTCAACTGCGCTGCCGGCTCAAGTGGCGGTCGCCTGGCGCAGTGGCTGCAGCCGGGCAGCAGGGCGGATCCGTCAAAGTCGCAGGTGCTCTACGCCCGAGAAGACCTCAGATGCGGCTGGCCGGCTATCATCACCGTGCTCACGAGGGACCAGTACGGAGACATGGTCCACGTGCCGAACATGAAGATCGACGTCAAGGCCGTGCCGTTCGACAAGAAGGACATCGGCGACACCGGCAGGAAGATGCGCAGGGTGAGTCAGCCGGACTTGCTGACGTTCGGCGGGTTACCACCACCGCCCCTGCACCACCCCTACGAGCCGACCGTCAAAGAAAAGATGTGTTTTCATTCGATTACGGTGATGAAGGTAAGCTACATATTTCATCTATATTAAGGTTAGGTGCTGAGGTGCTGAGGTGTAACGTAGTTCGATATCTATTCAAACTCTACCAAATGAGTCCAGTTTATCAACAAAGGTTGTTTGTCAAACACTGAAAACCTGATTCGTTTCGCGGTGAGGTAGGCACAAAGTATGTTCTCCGCTGTTTCATCGCGCTCTCATATGATGATTCAGACGACAGACACCTGCAAGTAGGTCTATTAGACACCGTAGGATATTTCTGCTGACCTGATAATCCTTTGGTGACATAATTCAATTCGCAACACTCTCGATGCGAGAAATGTGAATGACCCACATGTTAAAAACACGCACGATGATTAACGTCTTGCAAAAGTGCCAGTTATTTTTTCTGATACGATCGATTTTACTGGTTAGCACTATCTGTATCTGTAGAGTAGGGAGGGTAAGTGTAGGCCCACAGCACTAAGGCAACATGTGACCCATTGTACATCCTTCCGAGGGGTTGTCCTCCTAGGTCATCGTCCGTCCTGTCCTTTCCAGGAAGGTGGACAGGTCACTAGGAGACATCTCTTTTATATCTGCAGGTGTAGGCCACGACTCCGGACACTTGCATAAGACATGCCTGACAGTTTCGTCTTCTTGTTCACACATCCTGCATAGATGTGTGTCCACTAGCCTCATAATATGAAGGTGTTTCCTTAGTTGAAAGTGGCCAGTCAGAAATCCTACTGTTAAGCGAAGATTTTTCCTGGTCTTCGCCAGATATTTCTTCGGCGCCAGCTTTCCAGGTCGCCCAGTGTGATCCTGGCAAGACGGCATCCTTTGATCCCATTCCATCTCTTTAGGGATCGAGTATGTGTGCGACGTTTGGCTAGTTCCGCAATTGTTGAAGTCATCAGGGTGTCACTGGGTCCTAAAATTCTTAGTCCAGCCGCTTCCTTGGCTAAAGAGTCGGCAATGCGATTACCTTCACTCCTGTCGTGCCCTTTAATCCACCTCAGGATAATGTTATTATCTACCGAGGTTTTGGATAAATCTTGGTGGCACTCTAGTTCTAGCTCTGAGGTAACACGTTGTCTGTTCAAGGCTAATGGGGCTTGTTTACTATCAGTGCAGATTGTTATGTTTTTGCCAGAAATTTCTTTCCTGGTTATTTGTTTTGTGGCGATTGAGATACTAGCCACTTCTGTTTGAACCACGCTGATAGTTTTTCCCATTCCCCACTTAATCCTTAGGCATAGTGATCTGGAGTAAACTACACATCCTGAGCCTTCTTTGGTTTTTGAGCCATCTGTATATATGCGTATTACATTTGTAGCATCTGACTCTGTGTTCTGTTTCATTTGTATTTTTTAGGGTTTATTAAACACAAACCTGGGTTCAATTGCATCACTAGCTGCCAGCAGCAGAGGTTGCGCAGTAAGCGCTTCTCGCCATAGGCTTAGCCTCATTGACCCATTCATGTTCTTTTGGCTCCTGTGATGTTTAAACAAGCCAATCGCTGTATTTGATATAATTTTTGGATGTCCGTTGCTTGTGGAACTTTTGGTCTAATGCAATGGCTCCGTACGTTAACATAGGTCTTAGTATTGCAATGTAGATCCAGGTATCCACACGGGGTGAAAGACCCTATGTGCATCCCACTGACCTCTGACATTGCTCATTAGCCACATATGCTCTTTTTGCTCTACTCTGTAGGTGAGAGTTCCATGTTAACTTCCTGTTGAGGGTAGTACCAAGGTATTTCACCTCTTCATAGAAGTTTAGTTCGCAAACTGAATATTCAAATACTTGATTATTCAGTTTGCAACGTGATTAGGCTCTGGAAGTACAATATATTATGATAAATACAGTATGTTTGCAATACACAGTAAACTTAATACTTGAAATATACCATGTATTTGAAATATTTTCAGCCCTTCCAAAATTACTCTTTCGAAGAACTTCGGTATTCGTCCCCTCCCGTGAAGAGGTCTGGCGAAAATATGCTAGTTCGATCCAACTCAGATGGTTCTTACAGTGCCACTTGGACTCCAGCTTCAATTGGTTGCTACTCCATAATGGTTAATATAGACGGCTACGATATGGAGGAGGTGAGTTAAAAAGGCATGCCCAAAAACTAAGTTCATTCGGAAAAGGTTAAATCATCTACAGTTGTTTTATTCCACTATCAGTTGATACTGGCGTAATTTCTTAGAAAAAAGGGAAACTGAAACCATAATCCATTGTTGTAGTATAGTTCTTTCAAATGTGATTAACCCAAACATAAAGTGACAAAAGTATCACAGCAGAAATGAGCATAAGTGAAATTATTACTATGAGATGGAATCATCTCGTCATAACTCAGTCGAAGGGAATATTACAGCAATGAACAGTATCATGCGAATCCCCATAGAATGATTTGAAATGTGCACTCCACCATAAGATGCGTTTTTTTGCACTAATATTATTTCAAATCTGTCATACCTGGCAAAAGTTATTCAATATCTGTTCTTAATCAAAATATGTATTGGAGTGATGAAGAATAACTTTTGGCGGGGACGATTCAATAAGATAAGGGAGAACAAAACGCACAATGTAAGTTTTCTGCACATCTAGCAAAAATAGGCATTGATGTGAATCCATTATGCTCATGTGACATTTTTTTAGCGGATTTAAATCACATCCTATTCACATGTCCCAACTTCGAACTGTACCGGTCGGATTTCTTAAATAATTTACTTTTCCCGAATGTTTCGTTTCCAACCAATATAAGAGTCTTTTTAGCTACACTCAATGAAAAAATATACAACATAATTCTAAAATTCATAATTAAATCTGAAATATCAATATAAAACGAAATTTCTGTGGCAAAATAAACTCAAGTTTGATGTCAGGGTGGGTTGCTATATGGATCTCGTTATCTCAGAATTTTTCGGGGTTGTAGGAGCAAATGAAACAGATGTGGATCCGGTCGACTTGGCCAATTTATTTGAGTGGTCAAAGGTGTTTATCAGATATGATACCAACGAGAGTACGAGAGTTTGACAGAACTAAAACTATATAAGTTGTTAATATCCAGAAATACATTTTGGAAATAAAGTTACATTCCCCTGTACTAACTAATACAAACCTATCTATATAAATAGGAAATATAAGTTAGCTTATATTTCTGGATTACTCCCGAAGTCATTCAAAATAACTTCAGCTGTTACGAAATGTAATAATTGGTGAAGTGTCGATGGAAATGATTTTGTTCCCCACTGCAAACCTGAGTTTTATTCGCATCAAACGTACGATATTATAAAAAAGGGTAGATAGTGTTTTTATAGTCCTTCCAGTTTCCAGTGGAGTGCTCCGGATCCACGTCAAACGTAGTTTCTTTGCCAATATTGCCCTTTTGGCTATGCAGCCGACAATACCGCACAGACTGAATGCAAATTGCCTATTGCTTATTAGTGGTAGCACAAAATGATATATTGAATGCTAAACAACAATAGCGCTCCAACCGACAAAAGAGGACATTTATACCACAACAAATCAGGGGTTAAAAAAAATCAAAACGCACCTATAGATGTGTTTTATTCTCTTTTTTGTTTGGTGATGGAGACGTAGCAAGTCAAAAAGTTTTCTTCAAGATACTTTCAAGCTTTACATTTCAAAACAAACAGATAAAGTGAACGATAACCCGTTGTTCGAACCAAGTTCATAACTCGATATTTATAATCTCGGGCAGTTTATAAAGTTTCCGGTCAAACTCGCTGTTTTGTAATCTATTACACTCGAATATTTTCCATATTTATTATTAGGTTGCTTCAAAACTTTTGTTAGTTTTTATGTTTTTGCTTTTAATTGTAATATATTTGTTTATATCTATTATATATCATATAATATAAAATATTATATGATATATATTATATGCTATATAAAACAACATCATATGAAGCTGAAAAGAGGCAAAAAATTTGAATATGGAGCTACAAAAATACATGATACTAAAACAGACAAAACTTTTGGATTATCCTAATATATTCTCTAGATATATAAATAACTATTATATGACATTTCTTCTCATTAACTTTTTTACTATGAAAATTTTCAATATATGAACAAAACTCTTTCAGAACCTTGAGAACTTTCTGAAAAACTGGTACCAAATCGAAATCGACTCATCACTAAACATTTGGATAATAGTGATCATAAATTTGCTTTGGCAATTTCAAAAACCTTTTTAAAATTTTCAGGGAATATCGTCAATCAATATAAATTGCCCACTGTTGAAATCTTATTCAGCAGTTACTCTATTCTATTCTCAATATTAATTTTGCTGACATTTCATTCCATCGAAAAAAACTTTGAAGTGGAAATTATTTCAATATCCATGGACGAACCGGCACCTAAAAAACTTTGTTTACTATCTGTTTAAATTCGTGTACATAACTTCATAATTCGATTTTAATTCAATTTTGCACGAGACTTCCAGAGAGTCATACCCTGCATGACAGTTTGGTTCCATTTACTTGTACTAATGTTGATAGTTTGTAGGTCTGGGGTGGGCAATATTTAGGGTGATTTTTTTTTTGTACTTTCACGACGGTCTCCGGATCTTATCAATTAAATGGGTATATTCAGATTTTCAAAGTCGAAGTGAAGGAACCCCCTCAAGGTATGACGCCACCCAATCAAAATATCGCCAAGAAATCCGAGCACCAACCTAGTAAGTTACGGAAATTCGTAGCGAAGAACTCAGCAGGTCTTAGGGTCAGGGCTCACCCTTCGTTGCAGAGCGAGCAAATTGGAGTTGTACACGTTAATGGCACCATAGCTTTCATCGACGAGGTAACTATGACAATAATGGGGATTGAAGAACAGTTTCCACGCCTCTTTTAATTTTTCAGATACATAATGACGATGGGGTTTGGCTGAGGCTATCCGCGGATACCATCAAACAGTATTGCAGCATAAGTGTAATAGAAGCTTGGTGTTTACAGTACAACCAACATTTAGGCAAAACCCTTCTCCTGCCAGTGGAGGAACCTAAGACTATCCTAGATCAAGTCATTAATGATACCATTATGCGGAAGCTGCCTGAAATTCAAGAAAGGTATGGCTTACAAGAACTAATCTCGTACTATTCAACAATTCATTCATTCATTTCAAGTTTACATGAGTCCACGAGCAAAGAGTACGATGTATAAAATGCCACCTTTTGAATCACTCTCTTCTCAGGATCGAGGATAGAATTTGCAGAGTTGAAAGAGTTTAAAGTCACAATTCATCCAATTCATGGTGAATACCGTCTAAGTTTCATGGCCCAGATGGATATCAGGCTTTTTGGTTTGCTTCTTCCTATGGTAACTCCAAAAAATTGATAATGAAATATGTATTCCTCATAACAAACATCCTTTCAGACCCAAATGCAGACCCATTTTCAGCTTTTATGAGTATCTACAGATTTGATTGTAAGGGTAGTCTCAGACGAAATACATGCTGTTTCTAATGTAATTTATTCAGTGAAGTATAATTGTTCCACTGGAATGGTTTCAACCCGAAGATGAAGTTCTTGGGGGTTATTGTGTTTTGTAGACTTACTAGAAGCCGTTATTAGAACTACAAGAATTGTAGATATAGTAACACAGGTGTCATGTAACAGACATCTGAAATAGCTGACAATATCTGTCTACTTTTGTAACTTCCTAGCAGAATGACCCTGCTCAATTTCGTTAAGTATCCAAACCAAGATAGAGAACTGGTACGATTTTGATTATTTGATAATTTCGACATCTACAGAATGATTACATACAAAGTTTCATTTCAAGTTTGCTCAGTGAATAATGACGTTCAACTTTAGAACATTGGGTATAAAGTTCAACGTAAGGTACAAGTTGAACGATAAAAGAATGCACATGCGTCATCAACAAAATACGTGGTGGAACACATAACTTTGTATAGTTTTTTTCTTTTATAAGTGTAAAATGAAGACAAAAAACAGTTAACGTTCGCTTTTAATCGCTCTTATCTTAGATTTTCAGACTGTTTGATTGTTTACATTACATATTGTTAAAAAAAAAATATTTCACAGTAAATAAATTTATATCATGTTGGAAAATGGAATATGAAATGTGTTTCAAGAGCATAATTGATAAAGTGCCGAGTAATTTTATGAATTCAACCCCAATTCATAACACGGGATGATTTACTATTCGTGAGTTTCAAAAATGAAAGCAATTCTTCATTAATAGCTTAGGCTGTTCAGAACAGTAGCCCCATCGTTTCGTTTTCATTAGTCTGTGCTAGTTCGAGGATTCACAAATTGATGACCTATGATTATTCTTTCATAGTACCAACTCAATAGAGGTCATTCATATGAAATGGATGGGGCCCTACATCATATTCTCTGCCTTCCTAGCACTTCCATAATTTGGACCAATATGTCTAACTGCTTTTGCTAACTCACTTTGCTCTTTATGTTCAATCGTACCTTGTCCTCTTTTATTTGTAACAACTTCTGTCTTTATCTGTAGAGTAGGAAGGGTGAATGTAGACTTACAGCACTTAGATCACATGTGACCCATTGTACATCCTCTCAAGAAGTTGTCCTCCTAGGTCATCGTCCGTCCTGTCCTTTCCAGGAATGTGGACAGGTCACTGGGAGACATCTCCTTTATATCGGCTGGTGTAGGCCGAGACTCGCTGAACACACACTCTCTCATTGACGATAACTCCGGACACTCACATAGGACTTGCCTGACAGATTCATGTTCCTGTTCACACATCCTGCATAGAGGTGTGAACACTAGCCTCATATTATGGAGGTGTTTCCTTAGTTGCCAGCGGCCAGTCAGAAATACTATTAAGCGTAGATTTTTCCTGGTCATCGCCAGATATTTCTTCGTCGCCAGCTTTACAGAGTCGCCCAGGATGATCCTGGCAAGATTGCATCCTTTGATTCCATGCCATGAGTGTGACGTTTGGCTGGTTCCGCAATTGTCGCAAATCTTGGTGGCACTTTAGTACTAGCCCTGAGGTAACACATTGTCTGTTCAAAACTAATAGGGATTACCTGCTATCAGTGCAGATTGTTATGTTTTTGCCATACATTCCTTTCCTGGTTATTTCTTTTGTGGCGATTGAGGTACCAGCCAGTTCTGTTTGAACCACGCTGGTATTTTTCCCATTCCCCATAAAATCCTTAGGCTTAGTGATCTGGAGTACATCCTGGAGCACATCCTGAGCCTTCTTTGGTTTTTGAGCCGTCTGTATTTATGCGTATTGCATTTGTAGCATCTGACTCTATGTTCTGTTTTATTTGTATTTTATAGGGTTTATTAAACACAAACCCGGATTCAATTGCATCACTGGTTGCCTGCAGCAAAGTTTGCCCAGTGAGCGCTTCTAGCCATAGGGTCAGCCTCAATTGACCCATTCCTACTTCAAGGTTTACACCAGCTGTGCACAATCGTAATATGGCCATTAACGCAACCTCCTTAACGTACAATTCATTTGTCACCATTTCCAGGGTTACTTTGGTCGCATCTTGCCTGATATCCTATAACATCCGCCAGTTTTTTTTACTTCATATTCTGAATTTTGTTTGGATATACATTTGGATCCATAACCCTTTGTTTGTGTACATATTCTTTACAGTGCCGTACATTTTTTGTTGTACTTTTTGATTCAACAGTTTATAAAATTCTTCCTCACTAATGGTGGTTAGTGTTTCTAATAGTCCATTTTGTTTTAGCACCAATTTAATCCTGAACTCGCGTCAAACGGTTTGAAATTTGCTTCTTACAAAGGATTCAGTGTCATAAGATTTTTCGGTTGCTCAGCACGTGTTAGAATTTCACGTTTTAACGTCCTGTTTTTACATTCTGAACAGCTACAAACTTACCCAAAAAACGATTTCAGAGTCAATAACCTGTTCAATAATTTGTAACATTTTCAAGCCCACAGTAGTAAAAAGAAAACACATAGAAGGTTTATTTTCTAAAGTATGCAGCTCATCATAATCAATTATCAGTACAGTGGACAACTTGCCACTTGCTTCCCTATCCGAATTGAATTTGGCGGATATTTGAAATATTTGGTAAACATTTTTCAATGATATCTTGTTCGTTTGTTGATTTAATGTACTTCGCACATCTTTTTTTTCAATATTTCATTGTGCAATAACCTGTGACTGTTTTCCAGAAACAAATCCTCAACGTCCAGCATAAACTACCAGGTAATCAAATGCGGAGCCTCTGGCCACAATGTCCGAAGCAGGCCGAGTTTCAAAGCGCCCCCTGTGGGGATGCTGGTCTTGGGTAACAGAATAGGCGTCACGGAGTACACCGTGAATTCAGACGGATGCTGGGTCATGCTGGACACGGCGACCAAAGACAAATACTGCTTCAATTCCGATTCGGAGGCATGGTCGCTGGCAATCGGCCACAACAACGTCCTGTATCTTGGCAACGTCAACGAAAGCGACGCTTGTCCGAAACTGTCCAGCGACGCAGAGGCTTCCAGGAAGCAGAAGAGAGGGTTCAACTTTTCCCTCAAGACAAACGAGGCGAATTTTTCGTTTTCCGCTCAAAATACGGCAGATAAAGAAGAGGTTTTGTCGACGAATCCATTTATTTTCGGAGAGAGTGCGCAGCCCGAGCTCGTGAGAACGCCGAAGAAGGAGAAAAAGGAAGGAAAGCTCAGCAGTCTCCCGAAGTGGTTCAAGGGAGAGGACACAAAGAAGTATTTTTTTCATTTGTTTATATTTTAGAATACAAATTTCTGAACAAATTATTTCTTTAACGGCGAAATCACAAATAAAGAGAACCAAATCAAGGCTCGTGGGCCGTGGTTCAGTGGTATTTACGTTGACTGCGAAGACGAAGCTTACATCTCGAAGTATCAGCAATGGCTGACTGGCAAGCTACGTATTAACTCGTATTTATAGTTTTCGATAGTGGTGGGGGTGATGGTGGGGTATTAATACGAATGCTCACTCTCGATTGGTCCGCAGTTAAACACTGTTGTATTCTAGAATACAACTCCGATCGACATCCCACCAGCGGCATTCCTGTCAACAATGTAAACCAATTATTAGTGAGGACCAATAAGAACGACCCAACAAATGTGCGGACCAATCAAGAGTGAGCATTCTGTTTAAATATATCTGTTTAAAATCTATTTTTCCGTTTTTTCCGTTAACCAGCTGTCGCACCCCTACGAACGACAACCCTCAGAAGTCGAAACTTGTACGAGCTAAGAATTAACAAGGTCTTACCTTTTAACGCGTGATTCCTAACACGCAAGTAAACATTGTCATCATCCTCACCACCCCCTATGCACATACCACTGGTGATGTCTGCGGCAGTGAAGGACGAAACGTTTGGTAATTAACGTTTCATTCGACCTCGGCCTACTAACCCGGATTTTATTCTCTTCAAATTATTTCTGGTTCGAAGGATTTTTTCGACATAATTATGTTTCAGTATGTTTCAAGTTGATTTTTTATTAATTATATTACAGTTGAATCTTTGCATACATCTAAAAAACAGTTTACTCAGCAAGGAATTTCTAAAGTAGTTCAAATGTTATATATTATTATATTTCATTTGTATGTTATTATTGTGACTTTTGTATAAAATTTGTGTATTTTATATGCATATACATAAATTAATACATATACTTTGTACATTAATAATATACAAATTAAAATACAGAATTTGAACAACTTTTGTGATTTCTTGTTAAGTAGTGTTATGTTCTTGATTATTTTTGAGAATTTTGAATTTTGTCAAGAAATTTTTATTTTTGTAGTATACTGGCTGCATATAAGCCTTGATCTGTGCATGATTATTCTAAATATTCATAACTTTCATCTTGGCGATTGTCACAATCGAAATTAATGAAATAATGAATTTACTTTTATCCATATTAAGTCTTAATTTGTTAATTCCCAGTCAATTTTCTCCCCTCCTTTATTGCTTCTTGAATAACAAGGATTCTTTCCTGAGTACAAAATTGAAGCGTTATTAGCACGAACAAAATAAATAAGAAAAGAAAATTGAAATTTTCTGTTTTCTACCATTTTTATTTGTAACTAACGTTACTGCAGTTTTGTCCTATAAGAACATTTTCAAACTCGAAATTAATGAAATAATGAATTTACTTTTATCCATACTAAGTGTTAATTTGTTAATTCCCAGTCAATTTTCTCCCCTCCTTTATTGCTTCTTGAGTACAAAATTGAAGCGTTATTAGCACGAACAAAATAAATAAGAAAAGAAAATTGAAACTCTCTGTTTTCTACCATTTTTATTTGTAACTAACGTTACTGCAGTTTTGTCCTATAAGAACATTTTCAAACTTATACATGTGGGATATAATCGGATATATTACATGAGTTCAATGTATAAGTTTGAAAATGTCCTTATAGGACGAAACTGCAGTAACGTTAGTTACAAATAAAAATGGTAAAAAAAATTTATCTCCCAAGATCATGAGTAGGAGCTCAAGTCCAGTTGGTGTCCCATGTAAGTCAGGTCCTTATGGAACGGCTTTCCCGTCTTTTACTTTTTGAACCAGTTTCTCTTACATTATAAGTCGGAAATTATTCTTCTCAGGCGAACCTCTGGTTCGTCCAATCTCGCAGAGTGGACGATGCAAAATTACTCGTATTTGTTAATAATGAGGTATACCTTACTGGTTCCTGGGCGGAAATTTCAAATAGGAAGCGAAATCTTCCCAGTGTACCATCTTTGTATGCAGATATGATGCACTGTTTAGAACCTTTGGTATAGTAGTGAATATTACTGGAGTTTTTTCCCAACACCAAATCGTTATTTTTAACACCTCGACACGTGTTTTCATCACCAAGTGATCATCTTCAAAGAGGAAGATAAAACTGGTTTATCTTCCTCTCTGAAGATAAAACTGGTTTATCTTCCTCTTTGAAGATGATCACTTGGTGATATTCGAGGTGTTGATGTGGGGAAAAAACTCCAGTAATATTTTGTATGCAGAACATTAAAAATTTCATCTTTTGACGTATACAACATGAATACACTAGAGAACGATTAAGCTTTCACAACGATATATTAAGAAAGTCAGAAAACCCCAAAGTAATATTGCCATAACTACACCGCCAAAACAAAGCGTCCACATAAGTAATGCCTTGCAGTGAAAGCTGCAGAGAAAGTCAGAGAACGAATCTCCTTAAAGAGTCGATGTCAAATCATGGCTTTGCAACTAATAATCGCTTTCGAGGGCCTCATTTATAATTGATATTTGTGGTTTCAGTCATCTGTCGGTATCCTAAATGAAGACTTTATAGAGGTAGATGTTTATACTAATTTACACTCAGGCTTGTTTTTCAGGACAGTTCAGTTCATCAATGCATTCATGGTTTATAGTCTTGGTCCAGTCTAGCATCTTCAGTATGGCCTATGTCAGGTCGAAACTGAGCTTTCTGGTGTTGGACCACGAATGATTTGTCTTAAAGTTCTGATTTCAACTAATTATCTTGCAGTGATAACTGCAGAGAAAGACGGAAGACGAATCTCTTTTGAAGCTTGGCTTCGCAACGGACCGTGGTATGAACTTCTGTTGGTATCATGGATGACGTTTATGCTATGGGGGAACGGCAGAAATTTATATTCATTTTGATAATTTTAAGCCATAGTTCCAATCCTCCAAACAGTAACCGCCTCCAAACTAATGTTTTCACTCCGCCTCTCCTCTATATGAAACTTTCTGCTTTTCAGACAGAACGGGTGTCCAGCAAGATAGCACCAGTAGCAGCGCCCAAGTGTTCGGATCTCCAAAGAGCATGGCGGTCTCGCCGTTAGGTACGGATGCATTCACGTTCCACAAGTTACCAGTTCTCTTGAAGCACTTTTTTTATTTTCAGTGTGCGGAACTGGATTCGAATCATCGGCTGCAAGAAGAGGGTCGAATCAGTCGGACACTAGCGCGTTGGTAAGTAGCCTTACACGAGACACATCACAGTCACCCAGCCAAGCCACCCAACCGAGAGAAACTTCACCTTGCCCTAGCAGTAGTTCCTTCCACACGAGATCAGACTGTAGCCCACTTCATAGGCAATATTCCAAGGATTCCACTGTAAGGATTATTTGAGGCAGGCTTGTTCGTAGGGGAAGTGAACTATATGGGAGTGGGGGAGCTTTAAAAGAGTTAACATCAAAACATTTATTGATTTTCGAAGGGGCTGACCAGAGTTGATAAAATCATAATAAGAAAAATTGTTCACTTCCCCTACCTCTATGAATCAAATCAATATTTTTTTTACTTTTATGTAGGATTCGGAACAGAGTTCAAAAAAACTCACTCAAACCGGCACTCAGACCTCTCCAGAAAACAGCAACAATGTACCGATAAAAACCAACTTCTCTATAGGGGCGATGGGAAAAGAGGAAAAAGTCTCCCCGAAGATGGCACGTAAGGATCGAAATATCGCTAAGATTAGACCGAAGAGGGCCATTTCTCCCGCAAATTTGCAGCAGTTACCGGCCAGTACGAAAATCAGTTACGGTTCCGAGACCGTCAAGGAGGCCATGAGCCCATCGGTAGCCGAATCTCTTCGGGCTGTGTTTGCAGCCTTCTTATGGCATGAAGGTAAGTGAAAATACACAAAAATAAAATTACCTCCTAATACGTTGAGCCAAGCTGACCTTTTATCTCCAATATTCTCTAATCAGAATGTTACATAACTGCCTAATCAACCACTTTAAGGTATCGTCCACGACGCAATGGCGTGTGCATCGTTTTTGAAATTTCATCCAACACTTCCTAAGCAAGGCGCCCCCGTCGTCACCCGTCATCAAGAACCGCTTTTGGACAAGCGACACAGAGAGCTGAGTAAAGAAGAAAAAGCGCGGCAGCGACACTCAGTCGAGGTGAGCAACGCGGGGACTTACTTGCATATTCAGCCCTCCACCTTGGAATCGCTTACTAGATCTGCCGCTAACGCCAGTGCCAACAGAAACCGGAGGAAAATGAACGAGGGCGTTATAAAAGAAGAAGGAGAAAAGTTTTGTTCAACAGATAGTTACGGGTGAGTACATTTGTAGATGAAAGTCAAGATTTTTTGTGTGCGAGAGGTTAAAAAGTATTTGTCCGTTAACCAGTTGTCGTCCCCCTACGAACGATAATTTTCAAAACAAATGAGAATTGATGAGGTCTTATTTTTCAACTGGCGATTGTCATGACGTATCCGTTGATACACATTTATACAATAATTGCTCCCATGATTTACTAAAGCGTACCATACAAGTCAGTCTACAAAATGCTGAAAAATTCTCCGATAGTATAGTTGTGATGTTACTCTTTCTCGTTTCAGTTCATATCTCTAGGAAACATCTTCTGAGAAGCTATCCATACTTTTGCTGTTATTTGCATTTTGTCTAAGCAGTACCGAATTGGCAACAACATTTGGAGTGTAACTTTGAGTTTTTGTCCATTTTCTCATGAATATAAGTGTGAAGAATTCGTAGCGGTATTCGTTTCTAATTTCAGTCACATAAATAGAAACTAGAAACCACTCAGAAATAAACACTGGTGAACTTATATACTGGCGCCCAACGTGGGGCACAAATATAAAATTCATTTTCGTTAGAAGTGCTTTTAAATAGTTTTTAAATGGGAATAGAAATGATCCTGATTGAAGGTACTGAAGAAAAGTAATCCAGAGAAATGTAAGCGTTCATCGAATTGGCAACTTCAATCTCTCTTAAATAGTGTGAACACCAATTCGATTCAACAAATTTATCCTCTGTTGCAGATATCAAACGATATCGGTGCTACCGCCAGCATTGAAATCTCTAGTATATTTGTGGGAAGAGTTGACAGCGAACTGCTTGCAAGCTGTTTCTCAGCAAATGACTGCAAACAGTCCAGTTCATGCTAAAACCAAGAAAAGTGACAAGAACGATAGTAGAGAAAAAAACACTCACCTCGAGAGGGAAAGTAGGAAATGCAGAAAGAAAAAAAATCCTCCTAGAAATTACTTGGGTAAGTTTTGTTTCAACTGTTAACATCTGCTTCTCTAGTGGAATATTCACGAATTATTTATATACTTCTATTGTGGGAGAGTTATCACAATAAAATTGGTGGTAGTCATATATACAGCGTGACTCACGGTCGATGGTAGGTTAGACGTTTCTGGAAAACGCAAAGCATGATTTTTCTGAAAATTTCACCTCTCACATTTCCTTACCTGTTCTATCGATCTAAAATATTTTCAGCATTGCGGCTTTGCCACTTCTATCAAAAGTCCTAGCAATTATATTTTTTTAAAAGGAACGCCCGAATATTAGTACATTTTTGGAATCGCTCTAGTATTTTAATACTTTTTTGTTAATAATGTCCTATACCTAACTCTATCTGTTTTCGAGATAGAAAATAAATTGTGCTAAATATGGTCCAAAACATAGCCTTAATTGAAATTAAGTACATCAGTACTCTCAATTCATGAAAAGTTGATATTTTGATGATAGTTTGGACAAACTCGAAATATT